AGCAAAAGAAACCACAAGAATTTCATAAACACATGGAAATTGAACAACATACTTCTGAATAACCAATGGTTCACAGAGGAAATTAAAAAAGAAATCAGACAGTTCCTTCAATTAAATGAAAATGACAATACTACATGTTGGTATCTATGGGACACAATGAAAGCAGTCTTCTGTGGGAAATTCAGAGCAGTGAATGCTTGTATGAGAAAAACAGAGCGAGCCCTATTAAACAACCTGATTCTGAACCTCAAGCTTCTAGAAAAAGAAGAGCAGGAAAAACCCAAAGCTCATACAAGGGAGGAAATTATAAAGCTCAGAGCAGAAATCAGTGCAATGGACACTAAGAGAACAATACAAAAAAATCAATAAAGCCAAGAGTTGGTTCTCCAAAAGAATAAACAAAAGAGACAAACCCTTAGCCAATCTTATAAGAAAAAGGAAAGAAAAGGCCCAAATTCATGCAATTAGGAATGAAAAGGATGAAATTACAACAGACCCAGCAGAAATCCAGAGGATCATCAAGACCTACTTCCAGAACCTATATGCCAATAAGATGGAAAGCACAGAAGAAATGGACAAATTCCTAGATACATATGAATTACCAAAGTTGAAAGAAGACCTAAAAATTCTAAATAACCCAATATCTATCAATGAAATCAAAAACATAATTAAAAACCTACCAACTAAGAAGACCCCAGGTCCTGATGGCTTCACTAATGAATTCTACATGACATTTAGAGAGAAACTACTACCACAATTCTTTAAACTCTTCAATGAAATTGAAAGGGAAGCAATACTCCCAAATTTATTCCTGGAAGCAAGCATCACCTTGATCCCCAAAGCAGAGAAAGACCCAACCGAAAAAGAGAACTATAGGCCAATCTCACTAATAAACATAGGTGCAAATATCCTTAATAAGGTACTGGCAAAGAGAATGCAGAAGACCATCAAGAAGATCACCCACCCTGACTAAGTGTGATTCATCCCAGGGATGCAAGGATGGTTCAACATATGCAGATCAATCAATGTAATACACGATATCAATAGAGCCAAGGACAAAAACCATATGGTCATCTCAATTGATGCAGAAAAAACATTTGACAAAATCCAACATGCACTTATAATAAAAGCCCTACAAAAAATTGGAATAAATTGTCTCTACCTCAATATGATAAAAGCCATCTATGAAAAGCCAACAGCCAATATCATAATAAATGGTCAAAAACTGAAATCCTTCACACTAAAATCAGGAACAAGACAAGGAGAGCCACTATCACCACTCTTGTTCAATATAGTTCTGGAAACATTAGCCACAGCAATTAGACAAGAGAAAGAAATAAAAGGAATAAAGATAGGAA